CGATAATTCTCTGGAGCTGCATGCAGATCGTTAGCTTGGTCGATTGACCACTGCCGTATAATTCCGGTAGCGTTGCAGTCTGCAACGATTTCAAGTGTCGACAACGCGTCGGGGATGATGTTGTCCTTGGCCGAAAAGTGTTCTACGTTGTGTATGAATTGAGGCAGAAACGAAATTTGTCATAGGTACATGTTGGTTGACGATCTTTTCTGCCTTGAGTCTAAACATGTATATAGGTGAGCTGCTTGTGATCCATTCATAGTGTCGCGTGAGGCGCYGCCCTTCGATGTAATGGACGAAATGTCGCTCGTTCAAATACGCGGTGAGTAGATCTCTGTCGTAGTGTCGTATATGTGCTGTATCTTTGTTCGGCGAAAGATAAGTTTTTCGAAAAAAAACCTCTGTCGATTCTCAACGTCTTGATCGTAAAATAATAATAAATTACACAAAACAAACCTACTACCTAGGTATTTTCATTAAATAGACATACATTTTAGTTTAAACTATAGAAAACACGTAATAATATTATTCATAAAATTACAATGACGTCTGGTAGTTGTGATTTAAACGGAAATAAAAATTAAACATTTAACTGGTTATATTTTAGCTATATTTTACGCAATAAATTCTAAAGTTTTTTTTATTAATTCTTRGCATTTTTAGATCAATATCGAATTCAGATACCAAGTTTTTTACTTATAAATACAATTAAGCAAACTCAGAAAACCGTTATTTTAGATTCTGAGCAGAGCGATGAATGTATTGATTTTACAATATTKGTTTTTTTGTGTCTGTGTGACTGTGTAGATACACGATAAGTTGTAGAAATAATGGTTCGATTTTCAAGTTCAATACTTTTTWTCGGTTGGAAAGTGAATCTAGTTGGTGCATTGGGGATTYCAAATTWTAAATTTCCCAGTAGTTTTCAAAAGCACCGGGAAAATATTTTTTAAATCTAAGATTTTTAAAAATTCAATAAAAGATTCTCAATGAGTTTTTCTACTTCTATGAATTAAAAAATGTTTACTTGAAAGTCAAGTAAAATTTATATTAGAAAAAAAACATAAATTACAACATCGGATATTCACTCAATTTCGCTTGTACCAATATTCATATTTTGTTGTTATTCAAAAACTATA